GCCACAACAGACGATTACACAGCTAAAAGCTTAGCAGCTTTTTAACACTAACCTTAGGGGACGGAGGGGAGGGGAGGGGAGGGGTTGTTTTGGCCCTGTCGTACTCTCTGCTATGAAATACAGGTCAGGTCAGAGCTTTGGATGGATGGAGCAGTTCGTCTCCTCCCCTTTAAATCCAAACCTCCTTAAAGAAGGGAACGGACTCAGCTTCCAGACGTACAGGAGTAGAGGACTGAGAATATACAGGAATGGTTTCAGGGCAATCTGATGAATCAGTGGACGAAAAGGAGACAAGATGAGATGAAGAGAAGGGATCAGAGGAGAGAAGAGAAGACCAAAGAAACTGCAAGAGCTCAAAGGGTGCGAGACTGTAACGAGGGACAAAAATAATTGAGGAAAGACCATCAAAAAATGAAGAGACAACCTCAAAGGTCTGAAATGAGGCAGGAAGCCCTAAAAGGTGCAGGACTGTAATGAGAGGAGAAGATAGTTTGCAAGAAGAGCCGGTCTGACAGCTGCTCATATTTGATATTTTGTAGGATAAGAGCCTTGCAGCAGCACAAAGAGCACATGAGGTCGGCAGAAAAGCCCTGGACAGCTTGAAGACGGCGTGAAGTTGAGTGTGTGTGTGTCCAGTGTTATTAAGTGACTGCCATTGCACACAGGGACAGCAAAGTCAAGTGAAAGTCAGAAGAAAAGCTCAACCAAAATGAGATATTAAAGCCCTGAGGATTCACAGACAGGAGATCCAGGCTTGAGAAACCACAGTGTAAACCAGGTGAACTCACTGAAAGGAGAGGAGAACCATCAGGAGATTACGTTTGGCTGGAAACACAAGTCTGATTCCTCACAAACTCTTTCCATGGGAAACAAGAAACTCATGCAAGAGCTTCTGCATAAATCATTAAAGAATCGAAGCCAAGCCAATGTCTACATTCAATTTTTTCTTCTTAGGTTCCTGTGTTTTAGCCAGATCACCATCTCACACCTGTGTGGTCGCCATTAATAACAGACATCGCTTGTCCAGAGATGCATCATAGGAAACTTCTGTGTTTATTAATCCAGAAAGAGATGTATATAGAAAAGTAAAACTATCTACGCAAGTCAAGTACTTTTTCTTCATTATTTTGAGGTCCAGTTGCGATCCAGCTATGGAAGTTCCCAAAGCTTTTTCCCAAGGCTGTGAGTGGAGGAAAAGAACATTTTGGATGATTTTTCAGCAGTAGTGTGATTGTAGGCCACTTTGGACTTATTGTTGAAGATGCTCAGAGGCAGACAGTTTGGATGCACCTTCTTGCATCCCTTATTTTACTACCGTTTCATGCACAGAAGTGTCTTGCGTAAAATTAAAAGTTGCGTCAGCTTCAAACATGGTGAGTCAGACTTTCTTTTGAATCAAAGAAAATGTGAAATATTGTTTCTCTCATCTGTCCAACCTCTTTTCCCCCTCCATCAGCTCAGGCAGGAAAAAGGCAGCAAAACCCTTCCTGTCTTCTAGGCTTAGTTGAATTTGTACCATCTCGTACCGCATGTCTGCGTCCGGAGACCCGGCAAGCGCCACCGATCCAAAGCTTCCAGGAAGTCTGGGCTAATCCCCCGCTCATATTCATGCCACATGTGAATCACGCTTGTTTTCAGCCCGACTGATGCAGACAAAAGAACAGGGAAGGAGAGGAAGTGTGTGATTTTCTTCTCGGAGAGCGTGACGTGAAAGAATAGCTTAAATCAGGCTTCTTTAGCAGCTCTCTCCTCACTTTTTTCCCTACATATAGGAATAGAGGAATGAATTGTTTTTCAACATGGACTTTCCACTTGAGTTAAAACTATTTTTTAAGGCTCTAAAAGATTTGTCAGATAGCTCAAGACTTCTTACTTTCCATAACAATAGCCTACCTAAAATATTAAATAAATTAAATGTAGCCATGTTGAGCATAAGGGACTTATTTTAAAAAAAAAATTTTTTTTAATTACTGACAAACCTACAAACTTTTGAACAGTATTTAGTTGAACTTGAATGCAGACTAAGTCACTTTAGATAAACGTGTACTAAATGTGTGAATGTAAATGACATCAATGAAGTACCATCTCATTAATGCCTGAATTGAGTCCTCAATCCAAGTTTACTCTGGCTCCAGTGACAAATCAAAGCGAAAAGATGCAGTTGACAGTGACAGCTTTGTTTAGAGCTTGTGAAACTTGTTCGACATACTTTCACTTTATATTAAAACTCATAAGTGTGCCATCTTTTGATAAAAATAGATGTGCTTTCTTCTCAGATGCCTGGCATTACAATGAAGCAGAATCTAAATCTGGAATATTCACCCAAGATTTCACATTTATACATTAACAAGACAAATTAATCCTTTTTAACACCTCCAGGTTTTTCATTTTGTCTTTTTTTCATTCACATGCTTCTCTCTGTGCAATTTTCCAAATTACCCATTTACCATTTAGTAGATGTTTATCCATTATTCGCCTGAAAGTGCACTCCAGTGTGTTTCTTTGTTTCAGGAACATGCCCATTGAGAAATGTAAATACAATATTCATGGAGGATTTGAACTTTGCTTAAGTTGGTTAAACAAAATGCAACATGCTGGTGATTCCTTAGCTCAAAACAGTAAACACTATTCAGAAATTTGAGGACAAGAAGATTTTTTTTAATTAATACTTGTATTTAGCGAGGATGTATTCATTAAATTGATCAAATAAAGACACTTATAAAATGTTACAAATAATTTTAAATAAATGCTATTAATTTTAACATTCAATTCATTAAATAATCACGGTTTACACAAAATGTTAAGCACAAATGTTTTCAACATTGATAATAAAAAATGTCATATGAGCAGCAAATCAGCATATTAGAATAATTTCTGAAGGATCATGTGACACTGAAGACTGGAGAAATGATGCTGAAAATTCAGCTTTG